TTACTACTCCGTCTTTTATTATAAAAACTTTTTAACTAAATTATACGGTTTAAGAAAACAGTTAAAATTAGTTAAAAATAATTAATATGTAGCAAATACAATTTTTTCCAAATATACCCCTATATCTAAATAGGTAAATATGAAAGAATAATAGTGATATAAATAAAAAAAAGAGAATATATTAAATACATTAAATTAGAGGTAAAATAGGTAATAATGTATTGAATGTTCAGACAAACTAAAAAAAGATCTTATATAAAGGGACAAACCTATTTAAAAAATTAGATCTTATAATAAGAGACGGAGGGAGTATTAATTTTAAAATTTTCCATAGAATCAGTAAAACAATCCTCGATGTCTTCCCCTTTAATTTTGACATTAAAATTTGTGACAGTTTTGCTTCCTAAAATTAAATTAATATATATAATAAAATATTTTCTCCCAAATAAAATTAAGAACAGTGAAAAAATCGAGTAAGATGTTTTACCATCATACAACAATAAATGTGAAAAAATATTTATAGGTAAAATTAGTAAACTTGTGTATAAAATTCACTTTATCTTCAGTGTTAATGATTTTTTTTTCATCTTATTTCCCATTTTTCCTATGAACAATCAATTTGTGACTGCAAAAGGACTAAATCCAGAGAATGTATAACAATTAATAATCGCAGTTATGAAAATGCTTTGAAAAGAAAAATTCATGTATCCAGGAAAAAATCTTATTAATGAAAAAAGGACACAAAATTAGGAGAGAGAAACTCACATGAATGAATGAGATTGAGAGCTCTGAAGAAAGGCTTGAGAGAGAAAAAAGAGAAGTGAAGGGAAGAGAGGAGAGTTTGTGTATTTATAGAGGCCGGAGGCAGACAACACAACAACATGAGGAAGACATATGGAATGTGCAATTATTAGCAAAGAATAAAAAATAAAACAAATTCTCAACTACTAAGCTCATTCTTAAAAGAAAAAGGCTTAAGCAAGGAGGTTATATTTAATAGAAGGAATTTGGTAAATCTAGATTCAAAATTTTGATGGAAGAAATGTTTATATTTGGTTTAAACAAGTTTCTAATAAGAAAATATTTGTACTCAATAAACATTTAAATTAGACAGACTATGAGAGTCTCTTATAAATAAGAATAGGTGATTCATAATAATTTTTTGCTAGGCATACATATTTTTTTTTTAAAGACAATCACATTTAAGACACTGTTAAACACAAAATATAAACTATATAATAAATTTTCTTATATACAAGACAAGTGAGAGTACATTGGATAATGGCCTTTGGTTAATTTGGATTAAGCAGAAAATATATTATTATAAAGCTTTTTTATTTGTAATTTTTTATATAATTACAAGACTGATTTAAGACCCAATTGATTTTAAAAATAAACTTAAACTAACTATTATTAATGATTATTTGTATTTTATATAAACCATTATTCTGTGTCTCATTTGATTGCAACTTGCAACACAGGATAGGAAGTTAGGAACAATGTTTTTTTCAATATAAAAAAAATAAAGATATGTAGTATTAATTATAGTTATAGTATGCTTATTCAACAATAACTATTTGTTGAGCATTTTATTAGAAACACAAGAGACATATTTTATTTGCAAAATAAAGCTTCTAATCTGATTTACTCTACTACTGGCTATTGAAATGTTCCATTGATATGGAGTTTAATATTCTTGAAAATTTTGTACAATGAATTTAATATATATATATATATATATATATAACCCTTGCCATTGAGAATTGAGACCACCCACCACTAAACCAAACCTATTAACTTTAAATGCAAGAAATTTTCATAGGAAAAGATCTTTTAATAATTTTATATCCATTCTACCGGAAAATAAATTTTGAAATTATATTTTTGATAGATTTACCCTTTAAGAAGCATGATATATTGGCAATAATTTTAAAAAATATATATAATAATTATTATTATTACAATGAAAAGGATATGGTCATGGAGGGAAGCAACACAGAAGGAAGGCGTGTTTGGTTGTCACTTTTTCACATTTCCGTTTTCCACGGGTTTTCCTACGCACGCACGCTGTGACTGTGACGTCTCGCAATGGGAACTCATTTTCCTGCGCGTTTAGCCATACGCGGTTTTGCAGGGATGGTGCGCGCCTGCGAGAGGCTTATGAAATGACATTAATACCCTCACCGCCGGATCACTTTCGTACTTTTTCACCTAGCTGCTAGCTGTTGGTTTTGGAAACAGGAAAGTTAAAGCGAAAGAGAGAATAAATATTCTTTTTCTTTTTCTTTTTTTTAAATGAAAATTAAGCAACAAAAACGTGTGCTTTCTATTTCTTTTTTAGGATAATGTTTATTGTTTTATTTTATTTTTTAGGTTCTTACGTTTGGTTTAAGTATCCTGTATATTATAGAATATAACACACATGTCAAGCTTTGTTTAAATTATATGCACTTTCCCAAAATAAAAGAATACATTTTATGTTCATATACTTTGGAAATTTATTATTGAAATAATGCCTTTTAAGTTTTAGTTGATAATACAAATATTTATGTTTAATAGAAGGTTTTCAATTTATTGGCAAAAAAATGTTTAATAGAAGATATTTTGACTTACAAAAAGTTAAACTAAATTAAAATGCATAATGAAAAATTAATATATTTAAGCAAACCTTTTAGCATGATGGATCAAATAAAAAAAAGAAAAAGAAAAATTACAAGTCTTTCAGAAAGAATGTTATGAATGAATGTTTCAAAAGCCGGACCAAAACTCAAAATACCAACTAATCTCTATTGTCATGGTTTAATTGGTGGTGGTCAAACCAATGACAGTGATTAAACCAAAAATAATAATTATATGCATATAATATATATGAAATAAATTTGTAATAAATCTTATTGTCAACATAATAACATCACAATATATAAACTTTTAATAAAATAACAACTGACCATAAATACTCTGAAAATATATTAAACTTCTAACAGTCTCAATTTTCTTTTTTAAATTTTTTTGATAGGCTTTTAAATTCTTTTTATTCTTTTTTTGTCAGACTCAAAATCTGTTCCTAATTCTAGAAGTTGTCCCGTCTCCTAATCTTAGATTTCTGCTACATCTTAATTAGTCAACCGTTTGCTTCTTTAATCACTACTACCAACAATACAAAAATTAAACTATAATTTTTTAATTATAGTATAGTACATATACATAGTTTTTTTTTTGCCAATAAGATAGAATATAGAATGATTACTAAAATATAAAATTATGTTCACATGTTTATTAAGTAATTGACATTACATTTTAAACTTCGTTTATAATAAGTAAACTAATTAGGTGCGACCCTGTTGATTTTTTCCTCATACTAACTACCCCACATGGTTATTAGTTATTACATTATTTTTTTTAAAGGAACTTTTGGTATCTTCATACTTACTCTTCAGTACTACCTAAAGAAATTGACCAAGTTGTCTACCACGTAATGCCATTAAACTTTTCCATTGGAAAAAAAAATTAAACATAATATTACTAACAAAATTGGGGAACCTAAAATAATGATATTTTTATTGAGTGACTGCAAATGAATTTTAAAATTATTCTAAAGAGATTCAAAGGTAGAAAAAACTTAAATTGTAGGAAAAAATTTAGAGTTCATAAGGGTAAATACAGAAATCTAACGCAATTAACCTGCTAGACAAGTATTACAGGAATCAATCTATGACCATCTTTAAAATTATTAATGCCAAATTATTTTGCGTGTGTGCATTAAATATAAAAAAAAAAAAGTAAAAAAAGGGTTGGTAAGGCACACCCCAATTGACTGTTGCCTGCCACTAAATGATTGTTTTAAAAACTAACCAAAAACTAACAGCCAATCCTTGTTGGCAAATTGAATGTATTTAAAAAAAAAAAAAATTCACCAACTTTTGGGCTAGTCTATACAAGCATTTGCTAGGAGAGACTATGTTAAAAATTAATTTATAAAATAGATTTTCTTATATTATAGTGATTTGTAAAATTCATTTATAACAATTGATTATCATAAACTTCTTTGAATAGCTTAGGATTAAACCAAGATTTCAACTCAAGAATAAATTTTGCCTTAGCTCGTTTGGTATGAGGGAAATGAAAGAAAAGAAAAGGAAGAAAAAATTTTAATGAGCTCAATTTAAAAAATTAAATAATCAGGATCTAAAAGTTTTTAACTAATTTTTATTACTCTTTTATCTTACATTTTCTCTTTATTAAAATTGTAAAACCCAATTTTTGTAATTTTTTTTAGTTCAAGATCATTAAATTTTTTCCTTTCCTCCTTCTCCCTTCATGTCCTTCATACGAAACGTAGAGTAAAAGGGGCACTTGAATTTGAATCATTTGGAGAGAGAGAGAGAAAAAAAAAAAAACACGCGGGCGCGTGTACACTAAAGTTGTCAAGCATAATGGATCATAAATTCAACTCAAAAGGCCCTAATTATAGGAGCCGAAATCATGGTTTTCTTAATGAAGTATCTAAACACATGGCAAATCAATCAATTATCAACCCAAAATCATGATTATCTTATAATCTTTCATTATTAGCTTTTCAGTTTCATGATTGATTTTGGAGTGTGATCAATCTACAAAGCACTCTATGAGCAGAATACCTTCTTTTTTTTTCCTGCCAACGAGCGGAATGCATAAATAAACCATTCTAAGTAAATATCATGATCCTAAACCCTATTTAATCATAATATGTATTTTGTCTCAAATTAACAATGGGGCTATAATTAAGAATGAATGAAGAATCCTAAAAATGGGTCTGGGCCTTTTTCTTCTTGCATTTCAAAAAAGCCTGGCCCAAGTTTAGCTTAACCCAACCCGTGAGTGCAGACTCCCAGGCCCATATTCTGGCTTGGCTCATGTCTAGGATGACACAGATGGGATGTCTTTCTATAAAACACAAAAATAGTTTTTCAACTATCAACCTAAAAGAATGGTGATGGTTTTAAAGAAGAAAAATTGAAATGTAGATGAAATCATATCTAAATAGTTCCAGATATAAGAATTTTCATAAACTTCGACTAGCATTAAATTCAAAACAATATACAATCTGCCCCTTCAAAGTGTTGAGAAGAATGAATTTACCTCCAAGGAACTTTATTTTCCTAGGCTAACCTGATACAATGCCTAGGGAGAGGAAGGACTAAAAAGTGGAAATCAATGAACAAAATAAAACACAAACCAACCAGACCATAAGGGATAATCCTGTTAGTGATCAAAAGGCTATATATGATCAGAAACTCTACCTTAATGCCGAAAGATCCTCAAAAACAGTTTGCATGTCAGGCCTCTCAGATGCTGGAAGGATGCATCTAAGAGCTACCTTGAGCATTTCATCAAGAACTCGAGGCCGGCGTTCCCCACCACCATGCCTGTCCAAGAGCAGCCTGTCAAAGCACTCACCGCCACGATTTTGCTCTGCCAAAAACTGCACCCAGTCTGCAAGGACAACGACCCCGGGAATCCCTGTAACAATGTCTCCAGAATTTCTTCCTGTTAGAAGCTCTAACAAGATCACGCCAAACGCATATACATCACTCTTCAAGGAAGGACATGGTTTGCTTGAGCTTGCAAACTCGGGAGGGCGGTAACCAAGAAGACATGCATTATGAACTTGCTCAGCAGTACCAGCGGTAGTTAGTATCCGATGCAGGGTGTAGTCAGTGAGCAGCACATTATGGTTAGCTATTTCAAGGAGGATGTTTGTGGATTTGAGATTGCCATGAGGTATGGCTTTCTCAGTGTGTAAGTAATGCAGACATTGAGCCACAGCTATCGCCACCCTGAACCTTTCGTCAAGAGACATTGGATGAACATTCCTTACATCTGCCTCAGTAAAATTAAAAATGAATGAATGAATGAATAAAACTAGGAGAAGTCAAATAAAATGGTCCCATGCATTTGAAAGTTCCAATGTTACCATTGAGTGAATAAGGATTGCATGACAAATATAAGTGTCTTCTAGTGATTCTTTTAATAAAAGTGCAGAACAATGCTTATGCGATGCAAAAACATATGAAGATAACATAAAACCAGAATCTTACCATGAAGATGAAAGTCCAGAGATTGTGCATTGACATATTTGGATATAATGAATTTATCAGTCTCCTTTGGACCCAAGTAGTAACCCTGAAGAGAAACCAGACTTGGATGCTTGATGGTCCCAAGTTTTTTAACTTCCCTTGCAAAATCCTTCTTGTTCTTGGCTATTCCTTCCTTTAATGACTTGACAGCCAATACATGACCCGATTTAAGTGTAGCTTTGTACAATGTCCCATGACAGCTCCTACCAATAATTTCTGCTGTAGCGCTAGAAAATTCTTCTGCAGTGAGCTCCAAAGCCCCATCAAACAGATTCAAATCCCCAAACAATTTATCCGGTGAGCATATTTTAAGAGCACCAGGATTCTCAAACGGGTGGCTTCTAGAAGATGAAGGATTTGAAAATGACAGAAAAGACATTGGAGATGATATCCCCTCCTCATGCTTAACTAATTCAAAAAAGTCAAGATCTTCTGGTTTCTCTACAGCAGTATGAACATTTCTGACATCATCAGCCTCCTTCTGGGTTGAAGAAATTGCTTCTACGTTTCTGTTAGGTACTTCACTACCAGATGGAGAAGAACTCTGATGAGCAATATCTTTCGGTCTATTTTCATGTGTAGTTGTTTCTTTTTGCCTGCGAACCCTATAAAAACTGACTACACTCAAAAGGGCCATGACAAAAGCACCAGAAACCAAACTGGCAATCAAGGCAATCTTGGTTGCAGGTTTTATATGTGGCCTCTTTTCCTTCAAACCTAGTTCACCACCATCTTCTGGTGAAGCAAGCGAATGAGGAAAGATCAGAAAAGAATTTCCTGGGTGAAATGCTGATTCGGGAAACTTCATTAATTTATCAGGCACAATGCCAGAAAAATTGTTGAAGGACACGTTGAATTCTCTCAGTTGATCAGGAAGATCATCAGGAATGATACCTTCAAATTTGTTGTTACATAGATTGAGACTTGCCAACTTGTGAAGCTTACCTATTTCTGTAGGTAGATGCCCACTCAAGTTGTTGTATGAGAGATCAACAGACACAAGACTAGAATTTTCAGCAAAAACTAGCAGGTTATTTGGAATTTCTTGAAAATATACTGATCCAGAAATGTTGTTGTGTGAGAGGTTAAGCACAGTCAATTTGGTTGAGGTGAAAAAGCTTGGAAGGAGTACCCCAGAGAGTAGGTTGTGACTAAGATCAATCTCTTTTAGTTCTGGGTATGTTCCTAAGACTGAAGGGAGACTGCCCTCTAATGAGTTCTTAGATATCTTAAGTTCAGTCACCCTCAAAAATTGTGTAGTTTGGTTAGGAAGCGTTCCTGTCAATGAATTTGAACTAAGCTGAATCACCTCCACATAATTGCCCCAATACTGAATTCTTGACAAGTTCCCTGATAGCATGTTGTTACTTAAATCTATTATGGCACAGTGGCCCACCTTGAAAGGTAAGGGGCCTGACAGATTGTTTGAAGATAAATTAAGCTTCTTCAAAGTTACAGAAGTAATGCTTCCAACAGGACCTGCAGAGAAGGAAAAGAACGTTTTCAAGGAACAGAAGCAAGGAAAAAGGGAATCTACTAAAATATCAACAAACTCAATTGGATCATAGTATAGGCCATCGATATATGTCAAACTAACATTTTCTATTTGGGAAAAAGAATGATATGTTTCTGCATGAAACTTCGAATCAAACTACCTTCAAGCTTGTTTTGACTAAGATCCAGCTCAGACAACATCATTGAACTCTCCTTCAATAGACCTTCCGGAAGAGAACCAGATAACTGGTTGCGTCCAAGCCGAAGAATCCTTAGAGATACCACAAATGTGAAGGAAGGTATATTGCCCACTAACTGATTATTACTAGCATCAAAGACCTCTAAACTGTCAAGGTATGGCATCCCATCATGAGCAAACAGATCACCAGTCAAGGAATTGTGGCTGACATTTAAATACTGAATTGAGGAGAGAAAAGTGCTGTTTCCAAGTCCCAAATCTAGTGAACCAGAAAACCTGTTGGTGCTTAGGTCAACATGAACCACGCCACCCATATGAGAAAAGATATGCATAATATCCCCAGAAAAGTTATTAGAGCACAAATCTAAATACTTCATGCGGTTGAGTTTGTCAAAGCCAACAGGAACTGTACCATCCAATTGATTTGAAGAAAGATTTAAATACACTATATTATGTAATTCAAGCAAGTCAGAGGGTACCACCCCATGAAACTTGTTGACTGAAAGATCAAGAAATTCTAGTGATTCCATTGGACCAAAATGTGAGACACTTCCCGTGAACTGGTTGTTTGACAGTGACAGGTTTTGAAGCTTTTTAAGGCCACTAATGGCAAGGAAATTAAACTGTCCAACCAAACCAGCATTATTCAGAGTTATCGATGTAACATTGCCTCCAGCACACGATATCCCATACCAATTCTGAGGACATCCATCAGAAGCCAAAGATCTGGTATCCCAAGAATTAAGCAGTCCAGAAGGGTCATTCTGAATGCTCTTCTTGAGTTCAAGTAGTGCATCAATATCTGAATTCCCTAACGCAATCACTCCATACAAGAAGAATATCAAACAGATTGCCTGCATGCCTTCCCAAGTAGCTCCTACACCAAGCATCACCACTGATATGAGGAAAGCAAAACATTGCAAATGCAATAAACTTGAACGCTTTCACAACAATAATCAAGGATTATAAAAATATTCAGAGACATTTGGATCTCAAGAGACATCCAAGAAGTCTGGTACCATTCAATGCACCAGAGCACACAACTTGAACAATAGGAATCTCACATCCCCACTATATGGTCATTGAACTTTCATCTCAATTCTCATGTCAAACATGAAAATCTGAAATACCACGATACCCAAGAAAGCATGGAATGTGAGATAATAATGTACCCAACTGCTACACAAAAGCAAATGCACATACAGGTAAAGGCCAAACAGTGAAAAAGACAGTCAAAACATTCCCTTTTGCTCCTATAGTTGCGAATCTGGACAACAAGTTTTACAAAATTGAAGCTTTTACTGGGTCAACTACCGCATAAACGAGTTCATCACTCTGAGGAACGAATCACAGTGATTAGAGCACAACCGAGAAATGTACTTAAAAATAAACTTGCTGCAAATTACAATGCAATCCTACCTCGTGGTTGAAACCCAGTGAAATTAAATGACGAAGCATACACGCGTGAAGAACAAGCCCAGAAAACCTCGGAACCTCAGTGAGAAAAAAACAAAGAGGAAGCTAGGCACCGTGGGGAGGAAAAGGTACAGTAGTACAATGCTGTAAGTGGAGAGTGAAGAAAGAGGAAGAATCTTCGTGAGAGAAAGGCATGATGAGAATGGAGTGAGACGGAAAGAGTAAGAAGAGGGACCAAAAATCTGAGGAGTTGGTGGGGTGGTGGTTTAGCTTTAGCATGATTGGGAAAAACAAAACTGAATATTAAAAGTAGGGAGGGGGAGGGGAAAAAAAGGGTCATCTCAGATAGAGAGAGACTTCTCAAGATACCGTCCCTTTGGGGAAACTGCTTGGTCCCCTGGTACAGTATCATTATTGTACCGTTTTACCTCGGAGACTTTCTCAACTACCTTTTGGATACCGTGGTAAAAGTTGAGTACATAAAAAGAAAATCCAGTTTGTGAGGCTAGAAAAAGACAAAAGTAACTGTATGCTTGTGGAATTTTGACCGAGACTCTCGTTCATAATTTATAAATAAGATTTTATAATTAAAATCAGAGATAAAAAAATAAAGTAAAAGGTATCACACATTGATGTTATTTCTCAGTTGCATTCCTAATTTTATATTTTTTATATGTTTAATATTTTAATATTATTTTTTAATCATATTTAGTATCATAAATATTAGAATGATGGATGCATTACAATATTAGGATGCTGATGCACCAAAAAAAAATTTACTAGGTATATCTGAAAAATAAAATCAGTATGCTGGATACATCTTTATCTTATAATAAAATCAAAATTTGTCAGAATAAATGTCAAAATTTTGCACAAAAATAAGATGACTTTTGATCTTAGTAGATGTTCGTTTAAGTTGTTAAAATAGATAACAAGTCTTCGTGACGGAGATAAAACATCAAGGAGAAGGGAGAATTTTATTCTTTTTCTTACGAGAGGAGAATTTTATTCTTTTATTCATCACTCTATCCATTCCATTATTTGCATTTGCATCCTTTTATGGTTGGTGCTTGGTACTTTTTTTCAGAGATTTGAAGCTTGGTATATGCCCAGGCATTTATTATAACTTGGATTTACAACATTAAATTGCCCAACAATTTTTTAAACAAGAAAATAATAAAATGAAAATGGACAATAAAACCTTAAATTATAATTGATTTTTTACTTGATAAATGAGTAAAATACATGTGTTAAGGAGTACAAATTGGTGCATTCCCAAAAACTTGGGGCTTGATGTTCTTACAAGTAGCAATTGCAGGAGTCCCATTGAATTTGAGATTAATATTTGTGAGTTTTACTTTCTCACATGGTACACTACTACTACAAATTAGAATCATTCCTTCCTTTGTTCTTGATGTGCCTCTAATGTTCTTGAAGGAAACTCCACTTATGTGCACTTTTGATGGAGTCTGTTGTAGCAACACAAAACGCAAGAAAGAAAATTGCATGAAAATACCAAAAAAAAAACAATGTAGTTAAAAAAATATTCAAGGAAATCTCAGAAAATATGATGCACCAAAAAGAAAATTGTATAACTCAATACCTGTTTTGAGCATTGGTTCCATGGACAATATTCTTGGTCTATGATTATAGGATTGGTGACATTGATCATGACAAGATCCTCAAAACGCACTTGAGAGACTGAGATTTTTATTGGAGTTCCAGGCCAAGTCTTGATTCTCACTCCATTATCAGTGTTTTTAAATGTACAATTCCTTACTATCAAACCTTCTACAGGTTCTTCGTTTTCATATTTTCCCAAGCTTCCAACACTAATGCCATGCCCAGGTCCGCATGTCACATTCTCAACACTCACTTGTCTGCTTCCATCACCGAATGAGATACAGTCATCTCCTGTTCTGATGTTTGAGTCAAGTATTTTCACTTGTGTTGATCTTCCAATGTGGATTCCATCTGTATTTGGACTTTCTGCTGGGGCCTCAATGGTAAATTTGCTGAAAGTAATATTTCGACACCCTAGAACATTCACATGAAAGTGTTTGCTGTGTTTGGATGTTGTGTCCCGAACAATCGAATTGTTCATAAAGCTGAACCAAAATTCTGAAAGAATTTCAAAGAAAGTTAGACTTTTAAAAGAATTCATAAATCATTGATGTAGAATTTTTTTTTTTTTTACCTCCCAAGATTCACACATGATGTTATATTTTAATTAGAGTTTCCAGGAAATGATGATATAATGAATTCAACACGTTTGAAAATTTTCAGGCATTAAGATGTGACGAACCTATTTGTCACAAAAGAAATATTTGCAAAGCAACATTATTGCAAAATCAATTTATAATATACTAATTCTTTCATCCCCATTTCTTTTGTTGCGGGGAATTTTCAAGCTAAGAATTCAAAAGATAAATACTCACTGAGGTCAGATCTCCATTAGGTGCTCCGCCATATTTTCTTATATCAAAAACCACAGGTTGAGCAATTATTGAAGATGCTAGCAGTAGGAATGATGCAGAAATATAGATAATACTCAAATTTGCATCCATGTTTATTTCTTCCTCCTTGAACTCTTCATAGGCCTCCCCCCCCCCCCCCTTCTATTTAGAATGCAACAATGTCTATCTACTAGAGTTGGATAGGATGATGAATCCCCATTGCATAGAGAGCTATTTATATTGTTATGGTAGAACTGAAAAAAAAACCCTATAAATAGCCAAATAATGAAATTATAAACCCATAGTTGTTTTCCTTTAAACAACAATATAAACAAAACTTGTTTATTTAACAATTATAATTCACATTTGACCATTTGGGATGGGATAATTAAAATTTTCCCGAATTTCAAGATTTTGTTTCAAACTAAGTGAACAACCTTGCTCGTGATTTGAAAAAACAAACAATCTTTGCCCATAAGTTTATTAGGAAATTCAAATACTGTCGCTGCGAAATTCATTTCGAGAAATTTAATCCTCAGGAATATAGTATTTTAGTGTTTATAGGTGTTCACATTTTTCAAATAGTTCTTCACATTTGTTAGAACAATTAATTATGTAATTGTTCAAATGGCAATAAAAATACGGCTTTCTTCAGGCTTTTCCTAATCGGTTGAAATATCCAATTTGATTTTTAAATTCTTAATTGGCACATTCAAAATTTATTGGCAGATGTAATACTCAAGTAATTCACACAAATTCACTAACAGTGTCTCCTTTTTCATGGATTCCTTTTGTTTGGAAACAATGCCAATATTCCATTTAACTTGTGACGTGCACCCTCTCATCATTATGGCAAAAGGACACAATACTCTATGAATGCCAATATGATTATGGGATCAACTAACACTACCTTTTTGTCTTTTTGCCATCGGAAAAACTAGTACTTACTGTTCTTAATATAAGAAATATCATAGTTGGATAGCTAATGTAGTAAAGTTAAAAAAATTAGTTAAATTAATTATTTATCATACATAGTAGTATATGTTAATTTTTTAAAACTATCATTTTCAATCATTTGTATTGGACAATAAGAATTATCTCGTGATGGGAACCTCTTATGATCAATAGGGATATTTTAGGAAAAAATAAAAGACAAAATGGATCAAGATCTTATATTTAGGATCAAATTTAATTTTTAATTAACTCTTATACTAAGTACTGGATATAGTATAGCTTAAAACCATTTTAATTCCCTTCTCCCTCCTACTTGCATATTTTACCTAGCTAAACAAATTATATCCGCATAGTCAAGGCAAGGTTTTGTTACTGACCAATTTCAGATAATGATTCTTTATTGTTACTTGTTTATCCTTAGTAAACTTTGCAGCCAGGCTGGTGCATTTAAACCGAGAATATTTGTTAATTTTTTTTGGGTATGTTTAATGCACCTTAACCATATTTTTTTATTTGTTCATCCTATTCAAAATATTAGCATGTATTAAATATAAGTATATCTCTCAATTAAAATTTAAACATTAATTTATTATGTTGTGAGTGACTAATTTCTTACGCTGTATGCAAATTCTTTTGTTGCTGCTATAAAATCTCATAACTTCATTTGTCCTTTTTTAAAAAAATTGAATAAACCTTTTTTTCCCCAAAAAAAAAGAAGCAAAAGAACAGTAAGCCGCTCCGAAGGTAGAAATGAGATGAGAGAACACGGTGCTGAAACCTCCAAAAGCAAGTGCATGTTAGCATTAAGCATGCCGCGCCAAGTCTTGAATAATAATAAGAAATAAGGTGTTTAAATATTTAAAAGCATCCATGAAGAAACAATCAGCATCTGAAAGTTTTTTTTACTCTTATATGTCCTAAAAGTGTTATTTTGTAGCATTTCTAACATGTACCGTTATCCTCTACTAAGTTTAATTATTAAAGATCTTAGTCAAACTGCATAATTTAATGATCAAACTTAATGGCAGATTATGTTCAGGGTATTTTTGTTATGAAAATAAACTTTTATGACATATAAGAGCAAAAAAAATCACGAGTGCTCCTTTGTAAATATTTTTAGGGTCTTTAATCACCTTATCCCTAATAATGATAATAATAAAATAATAAACTATCCTTAGCAACCAAGATAAAACTATAAAAGGACATAAAGGAAATTACAAATAATTTAAGTTTCCAAAATTAGTTGTTGACTTGATTTCCAAGAATGTCTAGAATAGACATTCTTGGAAATTTCAGTGAAGGATCACAATAGACAATTTATTTCAAACAGCCCCCAAAATATTCTAAAATATCACTGCAAGACCAAAAGAGCAAACTGAAATTAATTTAAGAAGAGCAAAAACATTGTTACCCCTTAAAACTATGACTCTGAAGCTCTTCCATCTCTCTCTTAAATCTGTCAATAACTCAAGCTTTTCTCTCTCTCACTCTTTGAAAAATTCGCTGATGCATTCAGAGAGCTCATTTGCCATCATTGTTTCAGAAAGGAGAGCATTCACTATCACTGCTATTCTAGTACAGAGTGCCTTCACCGTCGGCTCTATTCTAGTAACCAGAGCCTCTGTTGTCGCCATAGTCTCTCTTTATCTGTGTGTGACATCTTTCACTGCCTTTCCATTTAAAAATTTCTGCATATAATACTGCAAAATCCTTCTCCATTTCTTTTGTTGTAGATATTTTGGGTTCGGTTTGGGCCGTTGTGAAGTTTTGAACTACCAAGAAATTTTTTTACTACTCATATTTGAGATAAAATTATATAGTGGGTTGATTTTAGATTCACACCGTTGAGTGTTGAGAGTAAGCCTTTTAGTTCCTATCATGAATTGTATTATGAATTTGCAAGTTCCACTTCTCCAGAAAAAATGATGAATTTGGTGTTGTGAAAACTCATATTTTTGTTATGTGAATTCGCAAATTCCTCTTGTAAACGTAGACTGTGTTTAATTATTGAAAATTAATTAAAATTAATATTTAAATGATGTGCAGCAACTTATTATATATAGCTAGAAGTAGTGAAATTAAATGTTTATGAGTTTATTGATTATTTTGAAATTTTATTGTTGCACTTGTGCAAATGTAATGATGGTTCTTATCCTTATGTCACAGGAACAACACACTGTACTAAAGTCTGAGTTATTGTGGTGGCTCATTACTCATAGAAAAAAATATGAAGTCAAGCGTAGTTGTGAAACTACTTCAAAGGATGAAAATACAAAAAAAAAAAAGAAAAGAAAGAGATGACATAGCAAATGTTATATTTCTATTTGAGATGTAATTTAAACTACTTTAGAATGTGTTCAAATTTCTGTATAGAGAATTTGTACAATTTCAATTTCGGGGAATATATATTATGGCCATGTTCCATGTCAATTAATTCTAGTCTTTTGTTTATCCCTACTAGTTTACAAGTATATGATGTACCATTGACAAATGGAATTAAAAATTTCCAACAAGATATATTGCCTAACAACTTCATGTTTTATAAATGTGGCTGTCATATTGACAATTAAAATTAAAAAATTTGCAAGAAAGATACGTATATTAACAACACGAACACATCCATTTACAAGTAAACTAGTTGAATTAAAGAAGATGAACATCATAATTCAAAAGTCTACGAGGGATTATTTACAAGTGGAATTAGAAAATTGCAACATGGATATGCCCATTAACAATAGAAATACATCTATTTGTAAATAGATTTATTTAATTCATGAACACCAATTCACAAGTCTGGGAGTGATAGTTCACAAGTGAAATTTGAAAATTTACAACATGATTATATCCATTAACAACATAAATACATCTATCTGCAAGTAGATTTATTTCATTCAAAAAGTTGAACAGAACGATTTACAAGTCTGGGAGTGACGATTCATAAGTACGATTGGAATATTTGCAACACAGATATGCCCATTAACAATATAATTACCTTAATGTGCAAGTCGATTTATTTCATTCATAAAGTTAAACAGAACAATTCACAAATTTGAGAGTGACTGCTCAAAAGTAGAATTAGGATATTTGTAATACGGATGCGCGCATTGATACCACAAATACATCCATTTGCAAGTGGATTAATTTGTTTTGCATTTATGTAAATGCCAGCCAATTTCAATGCAGTACTTCATATATCATTTTGCTTTCTAAGGTCTTCACAGATTCGCCTCCCGCATGGAAGATGCAAAATAATTAGTTTCCACCGCCGCTAGCCATATATAATAAGTTGCTGCACATCATTCAAGTATTAATTTCAATTAATTTTCAATAATTAAACATAATATACGTTTACAAGAGGAATTTGCAAATTCACAATAAAAATATGAGTTTTCACAACATTAAATCACCGTTTTGCTAGAGAAGTGAAATTTGCAAATTCATAATACAATTCATGATAAGAACTAAAAGGCTTGCTCTCAACACTCAATGGTGTGAATATAAAATCAACCAACTATATAATTTTATCTCAAATTTGAGTAGTAAAAAAAATTTTTGCTGGTTCAAAACTTCATGACAGCCCAAACGGAACCTAGAAAATCTACAACAAAAGAAATGGAGAAGGACTTTACAGTATTATATGCAGAAATTTTTGAATGGAAAGGCAGTGAAAAATGTCGCACAGAGAGAGACTATAGCAACAACAGAGGCTCTTGTTACCAGAATAGGGACAACGGCGAAGGCACTCCATACTAGAATAGCAATGATGGTGAACGCTCTCCTTACTGAAACAACGATGATGGTGAATGAGCTCTCCGAATGCAGCAGCGAATTTTTCAGAGAGTGAGAGAGAGAAAAGCTTGAGTTATTGACAGATTTAAGAGAAAGACGGAAGAGCTTCATAGTCATAGTTTTTAAGGGGTAACAATGTCTTTTTTCTTTTTAAATTAATTTCAGTTTGTTGTTTTGGTCCTGCAGTGATATTTCGAATGTTTTGGGGCTGTTTGAAATAAATTGTCTACTGTAGTCCTTCACTGAAATTTTCCCTTTTTCTTTGGGTGAACATAAGGGCCCAGCGCGCAAAAAACACAAAAACAAAACGCCAATCCCCGCTTGGTCTTCCAGTAGCTGTTGCTGGACTTCGGCTGGGGGTGTACTCC